TCGCTTGCACCGCCTCTATCAACACCAGAGCAAGAGGATTAATGCAACGAAACAGCTATCTGATTCCGGGCAAGAAGGCAAAACACAGAGGAAAAGTAAGCTGTCTGAGGTGAACATAAGCATAAGAATGGAAGGAGAAACCAAGATAGAGATAAGGGAGATCAAGAAAGATGGCAGGCCAAGGACTCCAAGTACAAGATCAGAACATATGCAAGGCAAGACGGGTTCAAGTGGCAAGAAATTCAATTGGGCCAGGAGTCTTAGGTCGGAAGGACGCCCGATTGTGATTAAAAAGAAAACAGAGGGCCCTCATCAAGCCAAAGTGATTAACTATGAGCACAGTGTTTATCATAATCCAAGGTTTGACCATGGTAGAAGAAAATGGACTGCTGCCCAGAAGACAGCTGAGAACAAGTTACTTGAGCTTGGATGGAGAAGTTGACAGAGACCCTTCTGGTCTTTTAAATTGGACATAGCAACCGACTCAATAAAGATTTGTTGGATGTATAAAAGATAAATAACTACGCTTCTTCTACCCCTAAAAATAAAATAAATAAATAAATAAAACCATGTTTGAGATGTATCATATGGTTCACTGATATGTTGTTGTTGGTTTGTAAATTGTCATGGACTCATGGTCATTATTGGTTTTAATGAAATATTTTACTGTGCTTTCCAAGCTTACCTCATTTTCCTCCTATTTCACTATCTGTGGATTTTTGTACGTTGGAATTTTAATGTGAGTTCATGACTTTTGAAATAAACATTTTGAGAAAGATTAGTGTTAAGAAAAGAAACTTTTAATTGAGACCCTTAATATAATGTCGGTTTTTCAAAAAAATTTCTAGCATTATGCATTTTCTTATACCTTATTGTAACGTTAATTTTTCAAAAATTTTCAAGGTTGTGCATTTTCTCGTACCGGATTCAAATGTTTTAGAATAATTTATTTTAAAATATATTTTTATTTTTTATTTTAAAATTTTATATTATGAATCACAATATACTAAATCAAAAATTATTACTTTCTTAATTTTGTTTGAATTGCAGTAAAATCTTTTTCTAATTTGTTCTTATTTACACTACTGATGTTATTTTCCTTTAAAAATTAAATTTAGAAGTTTTTTCAAAATGATGTGAATGATGTGCAACGTGAGAATAATAAGTGACTGCATTATTAGTACTGTCATTTGTTATATGGATAAAAAAAATTTACTAAAAAAAAGGGCTATCGCAATATTCTAAGAGTGTTGCCATAGCTAGAATAACGTAGTAATAACCTTTAGCAACACTTTAGGACGCACCACCAATAGGTCACCTTGCAACGCACCTTCACGCCTCCCAAACTTAAGCGGACAAGTTGACCCCTATGGCAACATGTTCCGACGTGTTGTTAATATTTTGTCGGAGCTTTGATACTAAAAACTGCATTGAAGCACGTAAAGGTTTGTCCCCATTTAATGGTATGTGGCAACACATGACACGTGTTGACACAGGTTTGGGATATGGCAACCCGTTGCACGCGTTGCCAGATATACCATAGGCTAAAAAAGGGATATGGTGGCCACAGGTTACGTATATAGCAACACTTGTTAGGTGTTGCCATACAGATTGGACAGGGTTTTGGGATAGATATATATTACCACACTGTCCGTGGCAACATATTATACATTTTTATAGGTATTTATTTCATTTTTTATTTTTTATTTCGTTGATAAAACTAGCTTTGCAATTTCGTATAATAAATAATTAAGAATACAATTCAGCAATATAAAACAAAGGAGAATCAAAATGAGAAAATATTAAATGAAATTATTTTATTTGTAAAATAATAAAATCTGCAACAAATACAAAATTATCCAAATTGGGAATAAAAAAAATTCTATACTACCATGAGTCAGGAGGCAGCTGAGGCTGCTGAGATGAGTAATCGAAGGGAGGAGAATGAGACCCAGCGACAGAATCAATAACCCACAATAAAATTACATATTTTATTAATAGAATATATCAATAATAAATAATACTTAAAAATAATATGCTTTACTTCAGTTATAACTTTCATGTAGTTCACAAAATAAGACTAGCCTACATCCCCATAGTTTAGATTTTTAATGGTTGTCAAATGACAAATGTTCTGCCAATATTATAGCAAGAGTTAACTGCTTTTAATAAAGTGCTAAAAAATAGTAATAATTAAAAGATACTTAAAATATAGAAATTTGAGTTATTTGCAAATTCTGTTAAAAAAAACTAGAAACCGATAAATAGATGATTGGTAAAATGGTTTAATAATTATTTATTATATTAAAATATCTAAATTTTTCATTCTTTTAAAAAATAATGTAAATAACCATTGAATAAATTTTTTTAAATTGTAGATATAATTTTGATATTAAAACTACTAAAAATAACTCTCCCAAACAACCATTATTTATCTCATCTCTCTTTTCCGGCATCCTTTGAGACTTGGGATCCGGCATGGTGATCCGTGTCAGGGAAGGGATGAGTCAAGGATTTTTGCAATTTTTTTCTCCTTAATTTGGCTAATTAAATGAATTATATTATAATTACAATTTTAATGTAAATCTTGTACAATAATTTTAAAAAACTCTTTAATTTGAAGTAAAGAAATTATATGCAAGAGTAAAAAAAGGCCAGTGCCAACAAGTAATTAGTAAAAATAATAAGTACTCAATTTTTCTTAAATAAGATTTCAAGTTCAAGTTTTGTGTATAAAAACACCACCATTGAGAGCGATTTACTCTCACCATAAGATCTAAATTAATTCAAAATAAATTAGTTAAATTTTAATGAATTCCTAAATGTTTGTGATTTTGACCAAAAAAAAAAAAAATTAAGGAGCCGGGTCAAGGACAGGGCACAGCAGATTGCCTATCCCTGTATACAGTGTTTTGTTTTTAAACATTCATTTGGCTGATATGATGTAGTCTTTGGATATCATTTTGATGTCCTATATCAGCTTTCAACATTTGGATACGTGAATTTAAACAAGATAATGGCTTGGATGTAAGTAGTTAATACGTCAATTTGTGAGTGGTTTTAGATTTCTTGTATATTGATGGTTTGAGATACTTCGCATAATAAGAACAATAAGTATGTTTGGTTATGATAAGAGTTTAATATTTAGTAGTTCTCTTACAACAAATAATAATAGAAGACTTTTAAGCGTGAAAAATATTATTTTCAAAGATTATTTGTTTGATTATAAAGGAAAAAAAATATTTTGGAATACAATAAACCTATTAATAATTAATCTTTTGAACATGGACATGAACATAATATATGTAATGCGGATAATTACTTTCAACGGTTTTATTTGAATAATTAGGTGCGAAAACAAACGGTTGTATTATTTAAAATAATCGAGCCATTTTATATTAAATTGAAAAAATTAAAATAATTAAAGGAATTAATAACCCTTTAATTTAAAATAAGTTCAAGTTCAAGTCGAAATCTAAGTTCATCTCAATTATATATATATATATATATATATAAATGGATTACATGTCATAACCCATTTATTAAACTAACATCACAATTGATAGAAAATGGGCCTCATAAATTAACAAGTTTTGTTTTTCATATTTTCTTAGTGTAGAACCCAATTTCACATTATTCACACACCTATCACAAATTATATAATAAATTTGATATAATATAAATGCATGAACTTACGAATCATTTGTTTGATGTTGCTACTTCTAACATATTTGGTAATCATAATTTAATAGAGTGACAATTTGTTACCATAACCCAAACTCAAATGTCAGATGTTTAAAAAATTTTGTGTTGAGTTAAGTTCAATTTGGAAAAACCAAAAGAATTGTCAAATTATCTTATTCTAGTGTCTTGTTTCAAATTAGAAAAAAATTGATATTTAGATATCATTAGAAAGAATTTTTAAGCCACTATTAAAATTTTCATGTGACATTATTAAATAACGTAAATCAATCTTAAAATGTCGCATCATTTTTTTTTTTAATTTCTGTAACAAAAATTTGTCAAGTAAATTTTATACTTTGTCATGTCACCATCTAGAATGAATAACATTTAGGGATAAACCTTATCCCGAATTCATGAGTTTGGACTTCAACATTATGTGACCCAAATCCAAAATGGTCCGCACATAGAACAGCGCAAGGTGACCCTCACTCGAAGTAACCAACTTTAACCCGATCGACCCTGTTTGCCACCTCAATAATCTAACATTTGTTTTGTTTTGTGAAATTACTTTTATTTATTTTTTAAATTATATATATATATATATATAATAGTTTCTCTACAATCAAATATTAAAATTCAGTTGGATCATCAAAAGATTTGGGAAATTCTTTAAAAAAAAAAAATTGAAAAGCCAAAATGTTTATTAATCACACATTTGCTGACATTTCCTTGTCCATAAAAATTTAATTAAAACCAATAGATTATCGTTCACTTCAAGTACGATATTAAAATTCTCAAATTAACTTATCCAAATCAAATTTGCAGAACGAGGCTCGAACATAGATCATTTTCCGTTTGTACCCATTTCAGAACACATAAATTGGGACATACTGCCATTTCTTATAAAATTTTTGTTGGTAAAATCTATTCACATCTAATTTTAATATTGATAACATAACATTTGATATTGATAGATAATGAAATAGTGTTGGAGCGGTTATAACCGGTCAACATATGATAACGTTTGACTGCAACTGAAATATTGGTGTCTTAAGGGTCATACGAAAAGTTACAACCATGCGGACGGAAAATAACGAAGGGCAAAACAAATCTACCATTTTCATCGGAATAACCACCCAGAGTCAAACTTTACATCCCCGTTTAACATCAGAAAAATTTCTCAGAGAATAAATACACCTAACTCTCTATGCATTTTATGTTCAGATGCTACGGAAGCTGCACAAATTGCATGTGGGATACGGATGCAATTTTCAATATGATGATGACATCTACAGCGTGAGAACAAGAAATTGCTATCAGACAGCTGCACAGCGTTCTTGCAGAATATCCTGTAAGCACTTCAGCGCTTCATCATAGTACAGAAAGCCCATAAACCAAAATTCATGTTCACCAATAGATATAACTTGAATGTATTTTTCACTAGGATTATCTCTGCTTGATGAATGATTAACTGCCTTGAGCTGATCCAGTGGGACGACTACCTGTTAAATCAATGCCAAACATATAGATGTGTCATTATATATTGCAGGACAGGAAAATAAAATAAAATAAAATAACAGTAACTTATGCAACAAATCCAAAATATTGTATGCCATGCTGGAAGGAAACTCAAAATGAAGAATCTGAATAGCTATAACTATGTAACTTCTAAAACTTGGAATAATTTTGACGCCTCTGCCACAAGTCTTCATTTATAGTCCGTGTAACAAGGACCAGGACCTACAACTTTGCATGAAAAGCCAAATCGTTCAGAAATATCCCATATAGTCAACATGTGCCAATCATGCCAAAAGGATGTTGAGAACAAATTGAAGTTTCAATTGAGGTTTGAGATTATAGCAACCCTATTGTCCACAAGTATGAAGAAGAGAAAAAAAGGAGTCTGCCCACAATTGTAGGACAAGGGCAAAAAAAATAAAAAAAACAAAGAAGATCCTCCAAGAGGAAACAGTGTTTTAATTATGGCATTTGTGATAGAATTCCCACTAGATTGTAGTCATAGATGAATAATTGATATAAGGTATTGCACTGCTGTGTCCTACTTTCATGTAGTTACTAGAAGAGCAAACCGAAGTTTCAAGGTAACAACTAAACTGCATGACCATTTGGGTGTGATAAACAGTTCCTTCGTCCAACTTCTAAAATTTCCTAGTACGCTTTATGGATGAAAAAAGGTATACAACTCAAACAAGCAGAAAATTAAACTGCAAACTATGATAATAAGACTTGAATGACTGAATTGATTATTATGGAAGCTCCCAAATGAAGCTAGGTTGAGGTCAATCAGTTAATATTTTTGCTTAATAAAATTCACTTTCTGCTTAAGAAGATTAATAAACTAATGTCAAAGAAAGCTCAAAATAATTGTCTTCAAGATTTGATAATCAATCTTAAGCAGGGCCCACAAAATAGAGTATTTTAGGTTGGATCTATTCAATTTTATTTGTTTTTAAAAAGAACAAAGATATCTTGGTTTTAAAGGTTTCTAAAGTAGTACACATCAGACTTGAGAGGCAGGAAACACTGTAAAACAAATCCTGATGAGTCTTCAAGGATTTACAAGCATCAGCGAAAACAGAGGAGGTAGGGATGTTTGTGTGACTGCAATGCCTAGTAGAAACAAAAACCAAACCTAAGTTGAAAAGGCATGAGACAATCTATACTTAACATAATTTCCGCATTTCTCAAAGACTTATTTAGCTAATAAATTAACAGATTTGAACTTCTACTTCGATTAATTTGACACTCAAACATGAAAAGCTAAGATATTTCAGTTCTTACCAAATGGTTGAAGAAAGCTAGGATTTCTTCTAATTTATTTACATTTCAATTTTATTTGTTTTAGAATTTTTATTTCTTAGGAAAGTTAAGGTATAATTTCTATTTGGTAAGAATTATTGTAGGAAGTAGATTACTTTAGGAAACATTTCTTAAGTTGATTATAATAATGGTCCTTCAACTTTACCCCAAGGTTAATTTTGGTCCCTCCACATTTTTGTGTTCATTTGGGTGTCTCAACTTCTATTTAAGGTTAAACATAGACAAATTGACAATATCCATCAAGATGCAGTCACTTTTTGGTCCACGTGACATTTCTCTGTTGTTGATGTCAGTATGCCAGCAACATCAACCTAATGACATAAGCATAAAGATTACAACTCAGCTTAATGACATCTCACTACAGCCAAGCACCAGCATACCCGAAAATCACTGGCAGATCCCAAAATTTCGCACATTCACCTCCATAGTCACATTCATCACAAGGCTCCTCACCTTGGAAATCCCGGGCAAGAGAGAGAGAGAGAGAGAGAGCTGCAAAGTTGAGAGGCAACAAGAAAGAGAGACACGATATAAAGAGACGAGAAAGAGAGAGAGAGAGCTGCAAAGTTGAGAGGCAACAAGAAAGAGAGACACAATATAAAGAGACGATATAGAGAGTGAGCGAGGGTGTGAGCTGGACAGACAGATCAGCTTGAAGAATCAGATGCAGAGCAACCTTGCAGCAAGCAGTAAAAAGCAGAGGCAAAACCCAAGCAGGAGTAGAGCAGGTTTCCATGAAGATACTGTTCACCTTCTTACTTGGCTTTGGCAAGGAGATGAGGTCGAAGAAGCTCATCTCAGCTGCAGAATATGCTCTGCTCCTGCTGTGGCTTACTTAAGCTCTGCTCTGCTGATATGTTTCTGTGATTCTGCCCCAGCTTTCACGAGTACAGGCCTAAGAGGATGTTGTGAAGCACCATTGATGCAGAAATCGCAACATTGCCTTCTTCTTCCCATTGCTCATTCAGTTGATGCAATTGAAGCAAAGTTCAAGCATGTACTTTAATGCATGTAAAATTATGAGTTTGCTTGTATATATTAGTCCAAAATTGACATCACTCAGTGAACCTGCCACTGCAGAAATGATGGAATTCTAAGACTCTAGAGTTTTAGCTATTCAAATCTCACTTTTTTGATCAGATCTGCTCAAGTGGAAAAGTTGCAACTATGTTGAAGAATAAACAGAATTGCATTGGAAGCTGTTCAAGCTGAGGCACTGATTTCATGGCTCCCAAATACATCATAAAGCTGAAGGAGGAGGGTCTAAATTTATCTAGGGTTTCCATTATTTCACCAATTGAACCAGTTTTACAGAGGAACAGTGAACTCAAACCTCAAAATTGAACCTCTACATCATCCTGTACCTCTGCACCACCCTCAACATACCCTTGAGATTGAAACTCTCCATCAGAACAGTCATCTCCGTCATTGCTGCCAAGGGCCACCCTTTAGCTTGGTGCAATTTGTGGAGAGAGCAATGAGAAGTTGTGATCGAGCGATTGCCTTTGAAGCTTATCTTCTTGAACTCCTTGACTAGGGTGGAACCCTAGTCCTTGCTGTTGCTGCCAATATTGGCTGAAAAGGCTAAGGGTTCTGATTGCTCTTTTTTTTTTCTTTATAAATTTAATGAGCCGGCCTTTATTTTTTTCTTGGTCTATGTTGGAATTAACATCAGCAGAAATTGTCACATCAACTAATTTTAGATGGCATACCATTAATTTATCTGAATTGGATCATAAATAGAGGTTGAGGGATCAAATTGAACACAAAGAAGTAGAGGGACCAAAATGAGCATTGGTGTAAAATTGAGAGACCATACCTATACTTAGTCCTCCTTAGTTTTAGGATTTATCTTTTAGGATTTGAGATCTCCTAAATTCTGTCAGTCTTAGGAATGGAGCTCTATAAATATGTCATACGCTTTCATTATGAATCAAAGTTGAATAAGAGTTTTCATTTGAGTGCATTTTTCACAGCACGGTAACTCTTCCTCGGTTACTGTTCATAAGTAGCCTTAAAACATCTATAATTCTCATCCTTTCATCCAACGAATCTTGTTCCTTAGATTCTCCTTAAAACCCTAAATATTTCCTCCAATTTTTATCAGAGGTAGAATGCGTTACAGTCAATGCCTATGATATTCAATCCTGCTTACAAGACAGATGGTACTTTTCAAACAGTTTTAGAATGTAGACTTAAAGTTTGCTAGCCAGAAGAGAGAAGAAATACTCAAAATAATACTCTGAAATCTCAATATTTCAAATTCAAGGAATAGTCATTATGAGCGAAGACTAAATTGTTTAATACACCAAAACAATATTTATAAAGCTAGGAACTTAATTGGCAGCAAATGCTATCTCCTACATTTGCAGATAAATCAAAATTCCTAGGATAAATATAAAGTCCTCAGATAAACTACAATACAGAAAACTGCTACACAGAGCAAAATCTTTAAAGATAAATATGCAAAATAAATCCATAACAAACTGAAAGATTCCATCACTAGGATTTTTTTTATATGGTCATCCCAATTTAATTAAATGGTAGAAGGAACTCTCCTGTATGCGGGAAATAAATTCAACTCAAGTAAGATGCTAGCAGGAAAGAAGACAAAGCAACTTGCCTATAATCATGACTAAAAATCAATCTTGTTGACATTACTACATAAATTACCTCATCACCAACACTACCCTTTATTCAAGAATCTATTTGCAGCTATGCTTATGGGATTCTTTAGTCATACCTTGTAGTAGTCCCATTCAATCTTATCACCAGCTTTATCTGACAATAGATTGTCACTACAAAATGCAAGCTTTGCTGTAGATACGTATAACACTCCCATTAATGGACCAGCTGATGTTGACATATAGCATGCATATGAATTTTGAAGTTGCTCTTCTGGATCTGTATCAAAGGTTTTTCTAAATATCTTCTCATAACCACCTTCTGCTAAAACCTTCGTACCTTGAACAAGTCTACCCATGGCAGCATCAGCAAAACTAGGAGCAGTTTTCACTGAACTCCACAAAATACAGGAAAGGAAAAAATAACTTCTCTTAGGTATCAGGAGAAACAAGTTTAGATGGTCTCTTAAAAGCAAATATAAATAGCACAAATAACAACAAATGACAGACTCAGCATAAGTTTCCATTCATAAAACTTCACAGAAGACACAGTAAACAAAATTATCCATTTACATAACTAAGGAGAAGAAGCAAAAGATCTAGTAAGGAAAATAAAATAACATAAATTAGAATTCCAGACTAAAGAAAATTCCAAATAAAGCCATTTTACAAAGAAAGGTAAGATGGCTTAATAAGTAAAAAAGCAATCACCAGTTTTAACATATTGAAGATATTTATATGTTTATTGTTTTTCACAAATTATCCGTTGCAATGCCTCAGGATAGAAACAAAGTTCTGATGTCTAAAGTGTGATGTCAGTGGGCATGTAAGCACAGAACTTTGCCACCACTAAGAAATTAATAGTAAACATCATGTAAAATTGAAAACATGCCATCACAGAAAACCCAAGATGAATGAATATTACACAAGGATTGGGATTAAAAAGTATGGGTCAATTACGAGGGACCCTCCTAAATCATACCCAAGGATCACTTCATCTCCATAAGTAACAATCCACGGTCTATCTTCTTTACTTTAAATCCAACCTAGTAGCAACCCCCCACTGATCATTCATCAAATCCACCATAACTTACCATACATCCTATAGCTGCTAGTTCTATAGAAGTATAAAGGAAGAAACACTCAAGTATTGAAGGCAGTATGGTAATCTTACAAGGACAGTTTGAAGATCAAAGTACTATCATCCTTTTAATAACATTCCATCAAATTTTAAATTAGTGGTTTTTTTTTTTGCCCCGGGGGGGGGGGGGGGGGGGGGGTGGTTAAAGTAATAGATTTAATTGTTTCTAGAGTGACAGAGTGTCTAAGTAAAATAGTCCAGGGAAACCCTATAACAGTTCAGAGAAATTTGCCCAAAGATATTGCAAAAAATACAATGAATGTCCATTTAAGAATATCAAATATTTCTTAACTTGAGTCTTCTTAATTTCTCTGTCCATGGCTCGAACCACAAAATCTATCTAAAAATTGATTATCTCCCTTTCGTAGTTTACATGTTACAATTTTATGGCATGCAGATCCCAGAGGGGGGCAATGTAGCACATCCACATCATTTCATGGTTCCACTCCAGGCCTGTTCGGTTGGGCTGATTAGGCTGATAAGGATAACTTTTATCAGTCGTATCAGCCTTATCACGCGTTCGCTACGCATGTAACAAACCTGGATAAAAATCCGGACAGAGGCTTATGAGGCCATATCCGGGTAGGGGTGATCAGGGGTGATAAACTTATCACCCTTTGAAGCGAGATAAGTTTTATCTCCCTTCAACAGTTTTTTTTTTTTCTTAACAATCTTGCCCTTCTCTCCGAAACCTCCACCGTCGCCCCTCCCGCCGTCGGCCAACCACCATCGCCCCTCCTGCCGTCGGCTGACCACCGTCGCCCTTCCCACCATCGCACGCAGGCACCAGCTCTCACGCAAGCGCCCGATCTGCGGGCACCTGCGTGAGACCACGCAAGTTCCGGTGCCTGTGCACGTAGGCACCGACTCTCACACAGACGCTCGATCTACAGGCGCCTGCGCATGCAAGCACCTGCAGATCGGGCGCCTGCGTGAGCAGGCGCCGGCTCTCATGCAGGAGCCCGATCTGTAGGCACCTGCGTGAGACCACGCAAGTTCCAGCGCCTGTGTGAGCAGGCGTCGACTCTCACGCAGGAGCCTGATCTGACTACGCAGGTTCTGGCACCTGCGCATGCAAGCGACAGCAGATTAGCCACCTGTGTGAGCAAGCGCCAGCTCTCCCTCAGGTTCCAGCAGGGATGGCGAGCACGAAGGCTCTACGAGATGGTGGGGACAACGAGCACGCAGGCTCCAGCAGGGACAGCGAGCACGCAGGCTCCGGCGGGACAGCGGGGGCACCGGGTGCAGTGGCCAAAGAGGAAAGGTACCAGGGGTAGATTGGTAAATTGGATCCTTATCCCATTTGTTATCTACATTGTTAAAAATTAAACCGAACGTGTGATAAAAACATGTTTACTATTGGGGCAGGATAAAATTTATCCTACTTGCCCTATTAGCCTTTATTCTATTCCCCAAAGCGAACGCCCCTAAGTTGCTTCCAGAAGTTGCATCTGTGGTATTCAATCAAAATAAATCAAACCCTAAAAAGCCTCAAGCTGACCCACTTGAAGTGGATTAATTCATGGATGTAAGGTCCTCTGTGAAACTCTTAGATGGAAAGAAAGATTTTTTCATTTTCTTTTTTTTTCCCTGTTCACTTTGAATCATGTCTGCAGCATCCCTACTGGATCTTAGGAAACTGACATGGAATTAGTAATCATGACAAGAAATGTTATTTCAATTCCAGTTAAATTAATCCATCATCTCATTGCAGTTGTCCCATAGTCCTTGAGCAATTTAGCTACAGTATGAATCCCCAGAAATGAAACTCAGATGTTCACTAAGTTCATCAAGAAAAAAGTTTCAACAGTCATTCCCATTAAAAAAAGCTCGTACACTTAATAACTAATTCAATATCAAAACAAAAGGGGAAAAAATCTCCATTACCTATAATCACCAATGTCTTGATTTACCGAGTATTTGCAAACTAAAAAGCAATAAATCAGAAAACCTTCCGCGCAATCAAAAAAGAGAAAAAGACTTACAATGCTGCCAAGTGTTTCCAGCTAGATCCTCGGCCCTCCTTGTCGCTTCCTCGACCTTCTTCCTCCATCTCCCTAATGCATCCTGAACGGTACTAAGCGAAGCTAGCAAAATAGATAATCAAAATATGATACAGCTTATTAACGATCTTCGAATTAGTATCAAATTCACTATATGATCAAATGCATTGCCAAGTAGGTCCAGAAGAGAAGGAATAGAGAAACTTTTGAGTCCATATTTCATATTAATGGAAATAAAACAGAACAAATTAACAATCAAGTCCAATATATAAGAGTTTTAAATCAACGTTTGGATTAGATTCAAATGAATTTCAAACGAGGATGTACAGCATAAATTTGTAATCATGGAGGTGAGGATGAGAATGCAGATGCTACGCATGCTTGTACGTGCAAAATGCAATGAAAGAGGGAAGTGTAACTGACTCATAAAGGAGGACGGCGCAGAACATCCGCCGCGGGTATCTGCAGGGATCGTCGCTTCCGATGAAGGAGACGCCATAACCAATCCCGATTTCTTGGAAGGGGTACAAGTTGAAGGCCAATTTATTGCCACAAGATCGCTCCCGTTTTCATGAATGTCATTGCCGTTACTGTCGCCGTTAATGTTGGCATCGTGCGTGTGTGTGCGTTTAGACCTGTATAATACTAAATATTTGAGTTTTAGTATTACGATTGTCTCTTTGAAAAATCAAAGAAATATGCTGATTCAATTCAATTAATCTTTGATTTAATTATTATTGTAACCTCTTCTAATGGAGAATTTCCAACTTGGCTAAATTAACAAATTAAGTACATAAGAATAGATTTTAAAATCACAAATAAAAGTCAATTAAAATATATTTTGTATAAAAAAATTCAGAACATAACACTGTTATGGACTTGATGAAAACAATTTCTATCTTTAAATAACTTTATAAATTTCTATTGATTCACACGTACTCAAATTGATTTGTAAGTAAAAATGTGATTGGAGTTTAAAATTAAAAATATAAAAATGATCTTAATTACATATAAATGCATAAATTATATCATCATTAAATCTTAATTATAACTAAAAATCACGTGATCTAAAATTACAACAACCCAATTCAAGGGCCTAATTGAAGAAAACAAAAATTAGAAGTCAATAAGTGATGTAACGAGGATATTGGGGAACAAAAAGCGTAAAGAAGTAAAATTTAAGTACCAAAGTACAAACACAATAAAACAAAGAATCCGTTATTCTTTCAGTCTCCTTTCTCCAAATACCTTGGCCTCATGAGTTCTTAAGATGAGAATTCAAATTCTTACGAGAGTTATATGTATATAAATATATATTTAATTTTGAAATCTAGTTCCATCGTTGATCCATCTTTCATTTGTGATTTGCCTTACTCCTAGGTTATCTTATGCAATCATTTATTCATTGTCTTATGTGAGTTGTCAGTTTTGTTGTAAATTTTCTTATACTTCATATGAGTGTTATATGTAATAAATTTCATTCTCATTTCAAATAGAAATAACATATAATTATTATATGATATCCAAGCATATCCTAGGTTCATATATGTGTAAGATTCCAACTCAAAAGATGTAAATAGAAAATGTACCTTGAGTTCTTGGCTGAAACGAGGGTGAGTGAGTGTTTCCAAAACCCAGTTATGATCACAAGCAACAAATGTTGGTTTCAGTATCCTCAAGTGCCCATATGTTCACTCTCCAAGATAATCGCACAAACTAAGTGTCTATCGATTAACTCACTTACGCTATAGATTGTAGATCAACAATCAAACTCAACTCACAATCTCTCAAAGTCAAGAAGAACATGAAGACAAGCTTCTATTTTTCAGAACCTTCTCACCCCACCTGCTTGCATTTCAGCTCCCTTTTTTATTCTGTAATTAATCTAATTAATTACATTTGAATGTCTCATCAAATGAGGCAGTTACAATTTGGGATAAAAAGCCTACATGCATGAAACATAAAATGAAGCTTTTCACATCAACAAGAAGCTGCATTTCATAAATGGAGTATATAGGTGGGCTTATATATTGGGCCAAGACTATTAGCCATTACAACGGGCTTAAATGATGTCAACCAATTTTGCCAATTAGCCCATTTCACAATTACCCATATCACCCAATACTTAACTGTAATTTGGGCCAAATTTGGGTTTTGTTGTTTTGAGCTTCTCAAGCCCAAAACAAACTCTACCTCTTTTCTTTTAAAAAATTCTAGGCTCTTTTATTTAAGTTCAATACATTAGATCAAAATAAATTAAACGCTTTCAACTTTATTTACTTAATTACCTTGATAAACCAACAAAGTATTTCCTCAAAGGAAATTTGTGAGAAAGGACTTGGAGTGCTTCCATGGAAGAAAATGCTTTCAAATTTCTTCAACATTTCCCCACACTAATTCAAAAAAATTAAAGAGATTTTTATCTGTTATCTTATTCTTTTTTTGTATTAATTATAAGGTAAAAATCATTTTGCCTCATTGAACTTCTTTCTTTATCTTATTTGTCCTTGTTACAATTTATTATTTACTTCTTGTACATGAATACCATTAATCTATAATTAGATTTACTCCTGAACTCTCTAGTTTTAAATACTGACTATTTTAAGTGTTATTATTAAAATAATTAATTATTAAAATTTTAAAAATTTTAATTAATAAGTTATAATCGATAATAAATATTATTTAATGTATTTAATTTTATATATTAAATATGATTAAATTTTACAAAATTAATTTAAACTATTTATACAACCTAACTAAATTAAAAAATTGTCAACTATGAATAAATAATTTGAATTTAGTAGAAATTATTTAAGAGTATAATTGAAATCCCAATAAATTCAAATTGTATATTCATAATTTCTACTAGATTCAAATTGTATAGTCATAATTATCAACTTTTTATTTAGTTAAGTTACACAAATAGTTTAAAATATTTTTTTAAAAAATTTATTTAATATCTAAAATTAAATATATTTAATAATATTTATTATCAATTATAATATTTTAATTTAATTTTTTAAAAATTTTAACAATTAACTATTCTAAAAGTAATATTAAAAATATTTAGTATTTAAGACTAGAGTGTTTAGGAGGATAAATATAATGATAGATTAATGTAGTCAAAGTATAGAGTGGTAAATGATATATTGTAAAGTTTATGGAATAAATAAGACAAAGAAAAAAGTTCAAAAGAGTAAAATGATTTTTTTCCATAATTTCAATTCAATGTTAGTAACCATTATAATAAGAGGGTATAAAATAAGTGGTTTATCTATAAAAATTATAATACACTAGAGGTTTAAAATTTCTTTTAAATTTACTCATTAAGTAGGTCAAGTGTTATTAAACTAGTGTTGAATTATACACAGTTTGCATGATACCAAGTAAGGTGGGGTTTGTACTATAAACAGAATATCAAGAGGTAAGAATTTGGATTGACAACTAATATAACCTAAATTCGTGCAGGTGCGTGTGTTGAGTTTGTATTATAAACAAAATATCAAGTGGTAGGAATTTGGACTGACAAATAATATAATCTAAGTTTACCAACCTATAATGCACGCGCACACACACATACACACTAAATTTGGGATATAGTTGGTAGATAATTTTTTCAGTGAATTAAATAATACTTTAATTTTTAATTAAATGGATAACTTAAGTTGTAAAATTGGATTACTCTCGTATTTTTTTCTTTTTATAAGTAAAACTGTTATGCAATTATTAGTTAATTATTGGTCAAATGGGATAAAAATTACATTAAGTGTTATTTAAATAAATATGAGAGAGAAGAGTACTTATTACCCTTAAAGCTATTTTAATCCATATGTTATGCTAAAAAATTATTTTTGATAATTGTTTAATAAAAAATGTTTATATATAGCATCAATAATTTTTTTGATAAATTTGGAAAAATTTGCCTTTCTATTACTGCCCACTAACTTATTTAATTAATAAATCTTAATGAAAAATCGATTTGACCAAATTAATCATAATAATACAAGTATATAAATTGGTATTTTTGTAAAATGAACATTATTAATTAACACATATTTTTCAAATCAGCATAGCGACGGAATCCTAACAGTTAATGTTGCCATCTCTATTATAGGAATTACAACTCTAAGTTACTATATGGTATAATAAAGTTCTATTAAATAGATGGAGGTGAGACTGAAAATATTAAAAAAATATATATTTAGTAAATATTTTAAAATGAAAATTCTCATTTTTAGGGAATTTAGATTTCGTTATTTGATAGAATTCTCACTCAACTATATAATTACTATAACATCCTCTACTTTTTTAAGTAAATAATAAATTTATCTTATAAATATTCAAAATATAAATATTTATAATACTAGATATGTTATTATAATATAATAAATTACTTAATTTAATAAATTATGTTATATATTATGTGATTTATTACATCAATATAATAAATATATATAACTTATTATAGATATAAGTGTATTTGATACTTTAATGTTAAAATATAAAATTTTTAATATGTTAATAATATATTAAAAGTTAATTTTTTAATTTTTAAATCTTTACAATAAAAGGCATTTTTTTGTCTTTGAACTTTTTTTGTTTCATTTCCTATTTTTATTACAATATACCAAATGGAATATAGAAATCTTTATCAATGTTATCATACATGTTCATAAGAATTCTTCTTCTCATTCTATTTTATTCTATTTTTTATTTCCAAATCATTTAATCATTTCACATACACGCCTAGTATATTGTGGGTTTTGTCTTGCTTCCATGCTACTTGGTGGTTCTACTCCAACATTAATTCATTTATCTCTCTTTTGCTGAGATTTTGTATGAGAAACTCTTGAATGTTACGTGAAACAAAAACAAATTAAGCAAAAATGGTGAAAAATTATTTCCAAACATCTATACACACACACACATACATATATAACAGATTAATTGATATCAATATAAGTGCAAAATATTTATATTAAATTTTATACTGTTAATTTAATTAAATCTAAGAGATGAGATTAATTAATATTTTGAAAATAAAAGTGTGTATGTAATTAATGCTTTGGAAGGCAAAAAAAGAGACAGCTATAAGATGCATGTATAGTTAATGTTTTGGAAGATAGAAAGAGAGACATCTGTAATCAATTTAAAGAATAGTTGTAATTAATCTTATCTTTTAAATTTAATTAAATTAATGGTATAAATATTTTATACTTATACTGACCTGAATGAATCATTGCTCAAACATATATATATACTTTGGCAATTAGTGGAATATATACTTAGGGAATGGAAACTGGAATAACAATTAGCGGCACAAAGAAAAGGGGCTTTTTTTTGGTTCAAAGCCATTAATAGAGATGCCCATTCGAAGAATGAAATACCTAACGAATATAAATCCTTGCCTTAGCAATCTTGCAATCTTGTTTAAGACAAAATTAAAAGGAAAAAGAAAGGACTCATATTGTTAAACTAATAGTAAACATTATATTACATAATAATATTATGGTAAATTTAGGTCTCGTTTGATAAAATTTAAAATAAAGTAAGAAAAACCTTAATTTAAAGTTTAATTGAATACTGAAATAGTTAAAATAGTAAATGATAACTTTTTAAAAGTACGAAGGTAAAAATTTATGTGATTTGCAATAACCAAGAATAAAATTTAAAATTGCATAATCATATGTAATATTTAGTAATAAATGAAATTCATTTTGCTTAATATTAAATTTTGTTGGGTGCCGCGATTACCCATACGGTGCTTCGGCCTTCTCATCAACTCCTTCCGAACCATCAACTGGACTTTCCTAAGCAAAATGACTCTTCCACCTCATAATGCCTTAAGGGAGGTGGAGACACGTCGGAAGAGGAATAGCCATATATATATATATAAGTGTGAGAGATAGAAAGACTACTTCTATTCTTATAGAAGAAGATTGTGGCTCTTTCTTCCCTCTAGGTCTACTACGGACATAGTAGCTGAGTTTACTTCAATCGTAACTATCCTGTGATGTTTTTCTTCTTTGGATTTTTACGTAAAACGTTATATTCTTTCTGATTCATATTTGGTTTTACTTAGTTTTTATATTTTCATAATTATATACTCAATATTATTAACTATAATTATTTTTGAAATATTGAAGCATTCAATATTAAGCATTGAATTATGTTACAAAAGAGTGAACTTGGTTGCTGTATGTCGAATCAGTAATTACTTTGTGTTTACAACAGTCGAAGACCAAAATGCACTTCTATTAAAAAACAAGAAAAAAAAGGAAGGAAACAGAAAAAGGAAGATTGAGATATATCTGGAAAGAATATATACATATATATGCGCCTGAAGGTTTTCACAGGGTGCTCGATTATGGAAGACAGCTTTTGACTTGATTATACGTTTTTGGTGGGGGAATATGAATTATTCCTAATTTCCTCCATAATATTAATTTCCACCGCAAGAAGAAAAGAGAGATGTAACAAGAGATGACACCCACCAATGCACGTCAGGATGTGGATTAAAACTACAAAAAAAAAAAAAGGTTGTTGGAATTCAATTCTCCGAGAGGAGACCGTGGATCACGTTGTATTCCCAGTGACAGTGATTCCCATCATCCAACGTACCATTTCCAAATGTCCACCAAGCAACTACCACGTGGCAAGATCAAGGGTCCTTCACTTTGCTCTGTTTTTGGTAATGAAGGGTTCTTCTTCTTGTTTGTTTGGCCATTTATTCTCCCCCTCCTTTCCTTCAACAATAATAAGGTGGGGTTTAATTTGTGTGGTCAGTCCATTTGATGCTTGTTCTGGACGACTGATTGCGTTTCCAAGCATCCTTTCTAGCTGTCAAAGGTCGATAAGAATTTGATTCTCAACTGATTAGTTCTGTCTCCTTCTGTTGCTCCACTGCTTCTCTCTATATTGTATCTTCATAAATTCTATGTATTGGAGGATGATCACCACTCTAAATTCGGACTCAAGATGTACATTCAGTCACTATCCAACTTGGATAAAGCAGAAAGAAACGCATTCCCCCTGTAAATCCTTTCTTCATTGTTAGTGGTATAGTTTTGGTATTTTACATGTAGGATTTGCCTGTATAATTGCTTGGAGCTA